GAGTATTATGCCTCCATCAGAAAGGATGAATACCCAACTTTTGTAGCGACATGAATGGGACTGGAAGAGATTATGCTGAGTGAAATAAGTCAAGCAGAGAGAGTCAATTATCACATGCTCTTCTGACTAAGCAAGCCAGATTCCCCTATTTGTTTGGTTTTTTAATCATCCTCTTTAGGAGATACACACTGAAGTTGCTTGAATATTTATGGGTAAAATTATATTTTATCTGGGAGTTGTTTAAAAATAATCCTCTTATGGTGACTAGAAATAGAGTGGCATGGTTACTGATAAAATAAAACATGTCATGGGCTAATAATTGTTGAAGCTCAGTGATGAGTACATGGATGGGAGTTCATCCATGATGATTAGAATCTTCTCTCTCCTTCCATATGTTTGGGTTTTCCATAATTAAAAAGGTTTTTAATGGTCCCAGTGGGAGGGGACACATTCTTCTGACACCAAAGACACCCCCAAGAGACATAATTGACTGAAAATTTTCCATTTTGATTACAATCCCCAGATTCCTAGCAGTTATACTGCCCCAAGATTGCAACAACAGAAAATTTTATTTAAGAGTAAGCTATGAGAATTCAGCGTGGAGTTCAACACACTTTGTCCCTCACCTTCAGTTCATAAGTCTGAGGAAAGAATGAAAGCCTCTTGTGCCTCCCAGGACCATCATCCTGGTCCAGAGATCCATGCCTGATTCTATCTCCTTGATCTGGAGGATACAGGTGCTGCCTCCACCCTTCACCTTCCTGGGAAGACTGGATTAACAAAACACATCCTGTAGATGACTCCATCTGAGGTCAAGTAGGAAGAACAAGACAGCACATTCTAGGGAAATGAAATAAGAGGGAGGAGAAACAGTTTCCCTAGCTGCACAGCCAGGGGTAAGGAGACTGGGAAAGGCTATACATTCAAAATGATTCAGTAAATTTGAAATGTCCAACTGACTAACCAAGCAGAATGTACTTCATCCTTTGCTTGTTCCAACTTTTCTTCAGCCCTCCCCCTTTTCACAGGAACTATCCTCCTAATTCTCTCCCCAGTGGCTTGGAGCTTCCTCTAACACCTCACCCAGTGCCTGGTCTCCCCCTGGTCACCCTACTGGCACTTGCACCACAGAGGGACTACACTCCTCAGACTCACACACCCAACAAGCATTCACTCAGTTGTCTCTGCCATGTCCATGAGTGATGGCAACCTTCTCATTCCACCTGTTTCTAAAGAGATAAAATGAGAACATTCAGAAAAGGTTATCATGGTTCCAGCACCTTGTAAGTGTTAATAAATATTAATTAATGTTGTATTACCTAAAACTATTCAATGGTTTCTAATTGTACTTGATATAAAATATATAAGCTTTAATATGCCCTAAAAAGCATCCCCCCAAAAATATTAATTACTATTTGTATCATTTTTCCAAGCACCTTCAAAAAGCCAGCCCCTGGTCTGTGTATGTCATGTTTTCATACAATTGTAAATAGGCTGTTTTTCCCACTGTGTATCTGCTTATTGCTGGAACTAGAGAAGGAAAAGATACATGTTTATTTTTTTAAATCTAGCCTTATCAGAATGACTTCTTGGTTGTAACAGCTTTCCAACTGATCTTATGTAACCAATTATATCATCTGAGAAATGTGATCAATTTACTTTTACCTAAGACATAAACCTATTGTTGTTTTCTTTGTACTGGTTTTTTTAATTTAAGTTCAAATATCATTGTTTTTTCTCTAGTTATATTGGTTTGAAATCTCAGAACAGTGCTGCATAGTGGCAATGGCAGGCATACTTGTCTTCTCTATGATCTTCGTGGGAATTCCTCAAATATTTTCATGTCAAGGTTGATATTAGCTGATGATCATGGAGCCATTTTTTTTTTAGATTTTATTTGTTTATTTGAGAGAGAGAGTGAAAGAGCGTGAGAGGGGAGAAGGTCAGAGGGAGAAGCAGGCTCTCGATCTGGAGCTGGGAACCCCATGCGGGACTCGATCCCAGGACTGCAGGATCGTGACCTGAGCCAAAGGCAGTCACCCAACCAACTGAGCCACCCAGGCGCCCCAATCAGGGAGCCATTTTATCATAGTTAAGAAATATCCTGTTTACAGTGTCCTCAGAACTGAGAGATTCATGCAGAATCTCTAACATCTTATATTTGGATGATGTTTTCCTGCTCATTTGCTCTACTATTACTAAATAAAGTACCAATATGAAATGCTGGTTGCTTTCCAGGGTTGGATGCTACCTAGTCATAGCATTTGGTTTTCTTGATCAACTGCTGGACGTATTTTTTTGCTATTGTCTTTTTTTTTTTTTTTTTTTGCGGAAGAATCTTTTTTTTATTATGTCACATTATTCACCATATGGTATATTGCTATTATCTTTGATCTTTTTCCTAATATGCTATTTAAAGAGATAAATCAGTGATTTTTGTTATATTCCTCCTATCATAGAGGGCTGTTGGTTTTTGCATCCTGATTGAAACGGCTTCAGAAAACTCACTGGGACATTTATTTTCACATGCTTCCAAATAATGTTTATTTATTGCAAATACTTTTTGTGAGATTTCAAAGTCAGTGATTTGGCATCATATTTTTCTGGGAAGTAAATTTGGTTGATGGCTCAATTTCTTCTTTGATGATCGGTCCATTATACATTTTATTTTCTTTTATTTAGTTATTTATTTATTTATGTTGAGAGAGAGAGAGAGAGCAGTTGGTGGGGTGGGGTGGAGGGGATGAGGAAGAGTGAGAATCTTAAGCAGTCTCCATGCTGAGCCCCAACACAGGGCTCAATCTCACGATCCTGAGATCATGACCCAAGCACCTGAAATCAAGTCAGGTGCTTAACCAACTGAGCCACCCAGGCAACACAGTCCATTATATATGTTGAATGGTCAAGCGAGTAACAAATATCATGATGTTATCATAGCTTATGGAAATTATTAGACCCAAACCCTTTTATTTTGTATTATTAAAATGATAATAAAATTATAATTTTATTATAAAGAAACTGTCCTTTTATTATATTTGGAAATAAAGTATGAATTAAAGATATCTGAGAAGGCTAAGTCTGGGTGATCAGGTGTCAGTATAGTTGAACAACTGGGATGAGCTTTGAGTGCAAAATTAGTTTTTACATGTAGGTTTTCCAGCTGGTGGTGTTAACATGGGGGAATTTGGTGGCATCTGGAAACCCAAAATTGACGGACAAGAAAGAAGAGACCATTAATCAAATAATTGTCTCCTCAATATCAGGTTCAAGGTAAAGGTGATTATGTGTCTGAGATGCCTGTTGGTCATTGATTTAATCTTGCTTCTTGTGCTCTTGGCAGACACTCCCTTTACATGGATCCAAGAAACCACTCAGGTATTCCAGTATTTCTCCTCCTGGGACTTTCTGAGAATCCAGGGATTCAGTCTGTTCTCTTTGGGCTGTTCCTGTCTTTGTACCTGGTCACTGTCTTTGAGAACCTCCTCATCATCATGGCGATAAGTTCAGACTCTCATCTCCACACACCCATGTACTTCTTCCTCTCCAACCTGTCCTTCTCTGACATCTGTTTCACCTCCACCACCATCCCCAAGATGCTGCTGAACATCCAGACTCAGAGAAAAGTCATTACCTATGCAGGCTGCATCACACAGATGTATTTTTTCACTGTTTTTGGACTTTTGGACAATTTACTCCTGACTGCAATGGCTTATGACCGCTTTGTGGCTGTATGTCATCCCCTGCACTACACAGTCATCATGAATCCCCAGCTCTGTGCCCAGTTACTCATCCTGACCTGGCTCATCAGTGTTCTGGGGGCCCTTCCTGAGAGTTTAACCATGTTGCAGCTCTCCTTCTGTGCAGTCATTGAAATCCCACACTATTTCTGTGAACTCCCTAAGGTCCTGCACCTCGCCTGCTCTGACACCTTCATCAATAATGTCATATTATATATTGTGACAGGTGTTATGGGTTTTTTTCCTCTCACTGGGATCCTTTTCTCTTATTCCCAAATTGTCTCTTCTGTACTGAAGATCTCAACAGTGGGAGGAAAGTATAAGGCATTTTCTACCTGTGGGTCTCACCTCTCTGTGGTCTCCTTGTTCTATGGAACCTGCCTGGGGGTCTATCTCAGTTCCATGTGGACACATGCCTCTCAGACAGGGGTGTTCATCTCAGTCCTATACACTGTGGTCACTCCCATGATGAACCCCTTCATCTACAGCCTGAGGAACAGAGACATGAAGAGGGCCCTGAGAAAACTTCTCTGTAGTGTGTTGTCCTCCCAATGACAACAATGACCCTGTGCCTGGGCAAGTGATTAAGGACAACAGAACAGAGTTCCTAATAGTGTGGACTCTGAAATTTCCCTGACTGTGTTCAAATGCTAGTGCCGCCTTTGATAAATAATGATCTCGAGAAAAATGCTCACCCTTCATGCACCTCCATTTCTCCATGGAACTATAACAAAGCATGCTTCATCAGGGTGATGAAAGTATTGAATGGAATAATATGTTAAGCTCCAGCATAGGGCATGCAAGTGGCAAGTCCTAAGTAAATATCAGATACTGTTACCAAAAAAAAAAAAAAGGAGCTAATTTTTATTTTTTATTATATTTATTTTCAGCATAGCAGTAGTCATTATTTTTGCACCACACCCAGTGCTCCATGCAATCCGTGCCCTCTCCAATACCCACCACCTTGTTCCCCCAACCTCCCACCCCCCGCCGCTTCAAACCCCTCAGATTGTTTTTCAGAGTCCATAGTCTCTCATGGTCCACCTCCCTTCCAATTTCCCTCAAATCCCTTCTCCTCTCCATCTCCCCTTGTCCTCCATGGAGCTATATTTTTTTTATGATGTTTCGGGGTTTTTTTCCATACAATTAAGCTAGTTTCTCTTCCCAAGTGCTGTCCTCCATTATGACTAAGTCATAAAGCTCAGTGACCCCAGGAAGAAAAAGACTTTGATGTAGGGCAAAATCTCTCAACTTTGGCATTATTGATATTTAGGGCTGGATCATTCCTTGCTGTGGGAGTTGTCCTGTGTGTTATAGGATGTTTAGCAGTATTTCAGGCCTCTAAACACTGGGTGCCAGTAGCATTGCCAGCCAAGTTACAACAATTAAAAATGCCTCCAGATATAACCAAATGCTCCATGGGGGCCAAATCACCCCCACTTGAGAACCACAGGGGAGTGTATTTCCTTTTATTTTGTCTCTTCAGTTTTTTATTTAAATTCTAGTTAGTTAACATACAGTGCCATATTGGTTCCAGGAGTAAAATTCAGGATTCATCACTTACATACAATACCCAGGACTCATCACGAGTACCCTCCTAATACCCATCACCCATCTAGCCCATTACTCACCCACATCCCTCCATCAACCCTGTTTTTTCTCTCTCTTTTTTTAAGATTTTATTTATTTAGAAAGAGAGAGCTTGTGAGCAAGGAGGAGGGGCAGAGGGAGAGAATCTCAAGCAGACTCCACACCAAGCACAGGCCCAGTGTGGTGCTTGATCTCATGATTCTGAGATCAAGGCCCAAGCAGAAACCAAAAGTAGGACACTCAACCGACTGAGCCACCCAGGTGCCCCTGTTCTCTGTCTTGTGTGTGTGTGTGTGTGTGTGTTATGTTAGTCACCATAAAATACATTAGTTTCCCTGTTCTCTATCTTTAAGAGTCTCTACAGTTTGTTTCCCTCTCTCTTTTTTCTCTTTTCCCCCCCATATGTTCATCTGTTTTGTTTTGTAACTTCCACATATGAGTGAAATCCCATGGTATTACTCTTTCACTGACTGATTTATTTTGCTTAGCACAATACACTCTAACTCCATCCATGTCATTGCAAATGGCAAGATTTCATTTTTTTGATAGCTGACTAATATTCCATTGGCTATGCCATATCTTCTTTTTTTTTTCAGCGTAACAGTATTCCTTATTTTTGCACCACACCCAGGGCTCCATGCAATCCGTGCCCTCTCTCATACCCACATCCTGGTTCCCCCAACCTCCCACCACCCCACCTCTTCAAACCCCTCAGATTGATTTTCAGTGTCCATAGTATCTCATGGTTCATCTCCCCTTCCAATTTCCCTCAACTCCCTTCTGCTCTCTAATTCCCCTTGTCCTCCATGTTATTTGTTATGCTCCACAAATAAGTGAAAACCATATGATAATTGACTCTCTCTGCTAGACTTATTTCACTCAGCATAATCTCTTCCAGTCCCATCCATGTTGCTACAAAAGTTGGGTATTCATCCTTTCTGATGGAGGCATAATACTC